TGCCCAGGATCACACAGCTAGAAAATGTCTGAGTTCAGGTTTGAACTCGGGAAGATGAGTCTTCCTGACTTCAGGCCCAGCACTCTATGCACTATGGTGCCACCTAGGCTGCCTTTCTGCTACTTCACGAATCACAACTTAAATCTTCCCCAAATCAGTGGGAATCTACCTTGTTTTGTCTTTGCTGCCACAAGTATGACTATCTCGGTATATCTAGCATCTTTCTTTTTGTCTTTGACCTCCAGGTATATGTCCAAAAGTGAGATCTCTAGGTCAGAAGTTATGGACATTTTAGTAATTTTTTAGGCAATTCCCAAATTGCCTTCCAGAATGCCAATCCTTCCATTTTTGAGAAGAGGAAACTAAGAGAGGTAAAATCTGATGCCCAAAGCCATTCAAGTTGCAAATGGCAGAGCCAAGATTTGGAACTCAATCATCTGACTCTGCTTTCCACATCCACTGTTTCATACTCAGTGCTCTTTTTTTTTTATTATAATTAATTTTTAAATTATCAATTTACCAACATACACAAACATTTTGGTTTGTATTAAAATATATTTTGAAAACTGGATGCTTTCAGTCACTACTCATTTCATACTGCAATCCCTGCTGGTCTACAATGAGTCCATTTGCTCTAAATAACTGAGTTCATAATTTGGAAGTACATCTAAACCAAACGGGATATCTGGGTGTTAACAGCCTGCCCATCATGTTACAGAAAATTCTGTTATAATGAAGGCTATGGAAACAAAATTCCTTTAATAGCAACACTGATATAACCCACCAATCACCAGCTTCTTTCTGCACTACTTATGCTGTAGCAAAGCTATATTCTTTCTAAAACATTTTAATCTACTCCTTGCCTTAGTAAGCAGGGCATGAACAAAATAATGGAATCTTTCTTTGATGATTCAGCATCTTATAGCCCCTGAGGGTCATCTGTCTGAGCATTCCTCCCTATTGTTGACTATTATATATTAAGGTAGAGGATAGATTAGGCAGCACTCCACTTCTGCTCTTAATTTTGTCTCCTGTTTTTTCCAGAACTGGCTTGTCCATCAGTCATTCCCTCTCTCATCTTTAATTTCTCCCCATCTACTGGCTCCTCGCTCCCTGCCTACAGTAATGCTTATATTGCCCTTATTTTTTAATACTTTTCCCTCCTCACCCTCCCTCCAACCTATTGTCCTTGTCATGTAAAGTTGGATTGGAGTATACCCCATGGAACATGCATGAGGATTGATGGGCCTGCAAAAGTAAAACACCCACTGAGCTCCTAGGGGATGAATGTAGAATAACGCTGAAAGGCTTGCTTTAAGATGACATAGCAAACCCTAGGTACTATGATGGTTAAAGGATGGGGGTGGGGAGAGACTACATCGAAAAGAACTGGTCATTGTCCCAGGAAGAACCATCCTCATGGTAGACTTTAAAAGGAGAGACTCTGCCCTCTGACTTTCTCTCTTCCTTCCTGGCCTGGAATACGTGCGAGATTGAGCTCCCTCTGTGTGGATTTCCTGTGAGGGAAGACTTTCCCTGGAAGGGATGGAATTCTGATACCCTCGACAACGCCATACTTCTGGATACCCTTTCCTTCCTTGGCTTCCATGAAATTGCTCTCTATCTCTTCTGTTTATCTCCTGCCCCTTTAGTGTGGGTGTTCATCAAAGCTCCCTCTTAGATCCCCTTATCTTCTTTTCCTCTTGCAATACTCTTTCCCTTAATGTTCTCATCTGGTCCAACTGGTTCAATTATCACCTCTATGCAGATGACTCTCAAATCTACATATCCAGTCCTAGTCTTTACTCCAATCTCCAGCCCTACATCTCTAAATGCCTATGTGGGACCTTTGTGGTAGAAGCAACATCTCTGTTGTAGGTATAGGCTAGTTTTCCTTTAAAAGATATTGAAACCATCTTTGAGATAGAGGATTAAGGCTCAGGACAATGTTGTAGCTTCCTCATAACCTAAGTACAAAAAGCCAGCACATGAGGAGGTAGCAGCTCTTCCCTCTGGCTGCTAACCAGCAGACCAACATGATCATCACAGAAGTAGAGAAGCTATAACCTAGTTAATCAGTAACGTATCCTCTCCCTACTATGGCTTAGTAAAACTCCCTTTGTTAACAGTGAGATAGTCTACAAATGGCTCATTTCACTCCAATATTGAACCTGAACTATCAGACCAACCTGAGTCAGGGGTGTCCTTCCTGGTTATCACCAGCATCTCTAACTTAACATGTCTAGAACTAAATTAATCAACTTCTCAAACCTGCCCTTCTCTCAGCATCTTTATTTCTGTTGATGGTACCACCATTTTCTCAATCATTCAGTCTTGAAATCTCACTTATCTCTGACTTCCTTCTTCCTCATCCAGTTGCCAAATGCTATCAACTTAACTTTCATAACACATTTTAGAATCTATCGTCTCCTCTCCATTTGCACTGCAATCCTAGTCCAAGCCCTCGCTACCTCTTAGTCTCAATAACCTCCTGACTGATCTCCTCCTCTCTTCCCTCCAGTGTGCTCTTCCCAATTCAGAGATCACGCCGTGCCACCCCTCTGCTCAAAGACCTCCAGTATCTCTCCAAGACGGGACTTCTTTGTGGCTTGTCCACCCAACTGGATATTATGATCTGGACAATAACCACTTTCCATCTATTTGGTTTTACATGTGTGGATAGTTAGGCCAAACTTTATTTTGAGGAATTATGGATTTCATTTAGGAGGCTCTGCAATGGCCCAAGGCTTGATGAAATCCGCACATCATCCACAAACAGAAGCCTTTAGAATCTAAAATCTAAAGTTTACATCAATATTCATAAGGAGCCCTTCTTTAACTCTGAATCTAAACTGGGCATTTTCCATGCCAGTGGCAAGCATGTCTGACGGCTCCCTTGACATTAATGATTAATTATTAATGGCAGTCACCTTATTTGGAATCTTGGATGATTCTGACAAACACACAGGAAATACCTTCTAGGGCTCAGAGAACCTCTAACACAGCATTTTACTCTGCCGTAGCAAGTGCTTTTTTAAAGTAAATCAATCAACAAGCCTTTATTAAGCATCTGCTACGTACCAGGCACTGTGGATACAAAGACAGAAACAAAATGGTCCCTGACCTGAAGGAACTTACTCTACCGGGGAAAGGGGAATAGAGCATGAACCCAAATAAGTCAATGCAAAAAGGCACACAAAATACATACAAAGGAATTTCAGGAGGCACTAACAAGGAGAGGGATCATGAAAGCCTCCTTGAAGGAGGAGATGGTACTTGAGCTGAAACTCAGAGGGTTCCAGGGGATTCCCAGGGATGGAGGCAAAAAACTACTGTACAATGAAACAGAAAGAATGGAGAGTGTGTAAGGGGGAGTGAGGTGTGATCAGACTGGAAACAGAGGTTGGAGCCTGACTGGGAAGTATTAAACACACCAATCAGTCTTCATCAGCTGTAACAATCAAAGCTTCTACATTTTGTACAAGGGTGATGCCATCAATGCCAAAACAAAGTCCTGATCAGTTTATACAGTGAGGACAGTTATCTGGACAATATCTGGGCATCCTCATTATATTTATAATCTAAATAATTTTAGGATAATATATGTATACAGGTAGCACAACAAAAATAAGAGCTAGCATTTATATAGTGCTTTAGGGTTTGCAAAACGTTTTACATCTATGATTTCATTTGATCCTCACAATTCTGTGAGAAAGGTGCTATTATCTCCATTTTATGGATGAGGAAGCAGTCTGAGAAAGGTTAAATGACACGGTCAGGGACACAGTTAGTACATATCTGAGGTAGGATTTGAACTCTGGTCTCCTTGACTCTAACACCAGGTCTCTACCTATTATGTTATTTAGCTGCACATCATACACACACACACACACACGCACACACTTTCTCTCTCTCTCTGTATATAAACATAATATATATAATATATAACTTGTATATATTATTTATATAGTGCGTGCAGCTAGGTAACACTGTATGTATATATATATGTACATAGACACAAACACACACATATGAGCATGTGCATGTGTGTGTGCAATTGGTAACATGGTGGATAGAGAGCTATCTTAGAGTTAAATGTATGCATGTTATATATAGTACATAGTATGGTACCTATTTATGTGTACATGTACAAACATATGAGATATACATACATACATAAATAAAACTTTTACAATAATTCCTAAATAGGGAACTCCTAGGAGCCATAGGAATGGTAGGAGGAAATGTAATACAGTAGAATGAGCACTGGCCTGGAAACTGGCACTCTAGACCACAGCTCTAGACTTGAGGAGCAGCATGTAACAGTGGAAAGATTGCAGGATTTGACATCAGAAAGGCTTGGGTTCGAATCCCACCTCTAACACATACTGACCGTTTGACTACAGGAAAGTCACTTAGGCTTACTGACCCTCAGCTACCTCAACTATCAAATGAAGAAAATAATCCTTGTACCTGTTACACTGACCTTCCAGAGCTACTAGGAGACTCAAATAAGATAACAGATGTAAAGCACTTTGCAAACAAGGTGCTATATGATAATGTTATTGGTTATCATCATCATTATTATCATTAGTTCTAGTTTGGCCACAAACCAGATGAATGACCACAGTTAAGTCATGCAACTTCTCATTGTCTTCATCTGTAAAATGAGTTTATCCCATCTTTTCTGCTTTAAAATTCTGAGTCTATAAATTATCTAGCCCAGCACTGCTATAGTATAAATTTACTGCTTGAAAAAGAATAGAAATTCCTAAAATTCCTCAGCATATGACCACAAGGAAAATTAATACTGAAAAAAGAAAAACGAAAGCAAATTCCTAGTAAAATCCCAATGTCTTAACACTACAAAGCTTAAAGAGTTTTTGAAATTCACTATATCTTTCTGTCCTATGAAATTGTCATATACTGGAACTAGTCCCCTTTGCAAGCAGACAGCCCCAGGCACCTGGGGTTTGGGTGACAGGCCAAAGGACACTTACTTTAAAGCTGAATCTGACGATATTTTGGGGAGCATGTGGGTTATTGGCTGTCAGGATACGAGTGAATTCTTGTTTTAACTCCTATGGGACAGAAATACAGAGAAAGACATTAATAAAAAACATGCTCAGTGCAGAGGACTGGCTTAAGTCCCATGAAAAACCAGCAAACTTCTCACACAGTTTCACAAACACAGATGATATTACACCCTATGTTTCCGATCAGCCACTTCTGGGGACCACATTTCTAAAGAGCTGGAGGGCAGCACCAGGCAGAGCCAAGGTTAATGAAACTCAGGCCAGGGACCGTATTAGCTACCAACTGTTTTCACTCTTTTACTGAGAAAACACATACACACACACACACACACACACACACACACACACACACACACATCAAATCTGCAAGGAGAAACCCATGAGCAAGCCAAGAAGACTCCCTTTCCCAGCGGTTCTCTTTCTCGTGTTAGCAAAGCTTCATTCCTGTCATGCTTCCCAGACTTTGTGTGCTTTGTGCAAAACTCAATGCTCAAAGGAAGCTTCCCTTGGGACAGAACGGATTCCTAATGTATGTGTCCAGCCTACAATTTGGCTATCGCTCCAACACCCAAAATAATGCAAACCACTTCTTAGTGGCACAGAGAGAGGTAGTGTGGCTCAGGGAAAGAACAAAGACCTAGTAGGGAGACGAGGGTTTAATGCCAGCTCGGGCACTAACTTGCTGTGTATTCTTGGGCAAGTGACTTACTTTCTTTGGACCTTGGTTTTCCCTACCTGTCAAAATGAAGGAATAGAATAAACCAGCATTCCCCAAATCATTTTAAGCAAAACTAATATTCTGGAGAATGCAAATTCATTTCCCTGAAAAAGATTTGATACTAGTGATATTTTTTGCTTAAAATATTAAGTATAAAATGATGTATCAAAAATACTTATTAAATGGGACTTTTCCAAATATGAAAACAGGCTGAATTTCTTCTATTTTGCTGCAAAATTTTCCCAGCTCTCATTTATCATCGGAGTATACCACATCCCTAGATTTCACCACGATCATGGTGATCAGTATTTACAGACTGTCAATATATGTCAGCTCCCAATGGGTGGCCAAATTGATGTGAGACACGCTGGGCTAAATCACCTCTCCGTTTCCTTCCAATTCTCCCATTCTGTGACTCTGTGGTTACATAAATAGGTCAAAATTTATCAAGTCAGTGTCCAATTAACCTACCTGAAAGAATCTAGGTTGGCTATCTCTACATGGGCAAAATAAAATGCTATTTTCAAAAATTCACTGTATTTGCTAGTCTTTGTGAAAACATTTCATATCATACAAGGCATATATAGAACTGATTTTTAAATGAACCTATTAAAAATTACATATCCAAGTGACAGATGCCACCTTCAAACTAGACATTTACTTCATCGAGACTGACATTACTCAAAACATTTCTGGATTTCATCTTTGGTAATTGCCTTCAGATCCTGCAGCCCATTCCTCTTACTGTCGTCAGTGATGACAAATTTTCATCTGTTAAGTGTTGCTCTGAATATGTAAGCAATTAAAAGTCATCTGAAGACAAACCTAGTGACTAAGGTGAGGATTTTGGGTCAAATACAAGGTGTGAATATATAAAGAAATAACGTTCATTTTCTTGTGAGGGTTGGCTAGTGGATTTAAAGTGGAAAACACTCAAGTAAATGCATGTTGGTTTAAATTTGTTCTCCATATTTTTGAGTCACTTCATGATATGTTACAAAAAAAAGAATGTTTCACATTTCAATCATTTAAATAAGTGTGGTGATATTTTTGGCATGCCTAAAAAAATGTAACTTTTATTGAAGGTATTAGACAGACACAGAGTTTGACATAAGGTAGACAATAACTTTGGCTTCTCACAAACTGGTTTGAACCAATGTGTATTTAAAACCTATTATTCCAAGTGCCTGATTTCTGCTTCATTGAGGTCACCCACAATACCACCCTTAGGAGATAGCCAAGCAACTCACACCAACAGCCATTTAGACCAAATTCTTCCAACTCTTTTTCTTGCCAATATTTTTTTTTAGATTTGTAGGCCAAACCTCATTTAAAATTGGCTTTTCTTTTGCTCCATATTGACTTGACAAGAACCCCAATGCAATTTCACCTCTACTAATGCATATTTCTTCCATTGCTTAGTAGATAGATGGTCTTCATGAGTCGCTATAGCCCAAACAATTCGTCATCGAGTGGCTGACCACATTCTGGTGATGAGTCTCTCTGAACTTTGCTAGTCTGGGCCTTGATGTTAAATGCCATTCCAAATTGTTAGGAATTTATGCTCTGTGTCACAGCCTTTGAGAACCCAGAACTACCTCTTCATCACAGTGAGCACTGAAGTGGGACTTTAGGGGAAGAAGAACTTGGCAACTTAATATTTAAACTTCCTGAAACACAGTAGGTACTTAACACATACTTAATGAACATTTCTAGATGTAACCAATGTAAAATTTCTTGATCAAGAAATTTAGTGAAAAACTATAGTATGTGATTTCTTCTACCCTATAACTGTAGAATTCGCCAGACGCCCACCTGTAATAGGAGAGGTGGTCCTCCAGCAAAATCAGTACAAATTCAACCAGAGATGAGGCATGTGTAGAGCCTGCCATGCTCTGTGTAAGGAGGCAACAAGAGGGAAGGCTCCTCCAACAGAGCCCCAGGGTGATCAAAAAGATTCCAGGGTGAGAACCTTTTAGAAGCTTCTGGTAGTAGCAGCAGGAAAGGCAGTGGTGAGCAAGCTCCACACTGCTCTGGTCAGGATGGCCTGAAGCTCTGAGGTCCCTAATACTCTGTCCTGAGATGTCAGAGAAAGTCCAGAAAATCCAACATTCTGAACCACAAAGATCCAGGGGAATCTAATCCTTGGAGATAGAGGTAAGCACAGTAACCCAAAGTGATAACAAGCCAGGGGGGAGGGGAATGGAATGGAGGTTGGTCCTAGCACAAAGCCCCAATTTAGGAACTAAAGCTGGAGAGGTGAGTAAATCCAAGAAAACACTAACCAATATTACAAAAATATTGCAAGTCTAGAGATTCTCAGAAAGAATCATTCAAGCTGAGATTTAAAGGAAAAAATGGATTTTCCATAGATACTACATGCATACATAAAGGAAATGAAGCAAGAGATGAAAAAAAGATCCAGAGGAAAGAATTAGAAAAATAATTAGCTTAGATTAAAAAAAGTGGTAAACCCTACTCAAGAAATGGAATCCCTGAAAAATACAATATGCCAAATAGACATCAATGCCTCCATGAGTCAGAAAGAAATATTAGAACAAAAGCAAAAGATTGAAAAAATAGAAAAACATGTGAGATAGCTAATATAAAAACCAATTGACTTGTAAAATAGATAAAGAGAGACCATTTAAGAATCACTGGCTTCCCTGAAAACCATGGTTTGTTGGGTTTTTTTTAATTTATAGCCTGAATGCTAACTCAAGAAGTCATAAATGAAAAGTGCCCAGATCTATTAGAACCAGAAGGCAAGATAAAGATAGAAAGAATCTAATGATCACCTCCTAAAAAGAACTCTAAAAAGGAAAAGTTCCAGGAACGTCAGCCAAAGTCCAGATCTCCCACTGTCAAAGAAAAAAGCAATTCAATTATCAAAGAACTATAGTTGGGATCACACAAAACCTAGAATTTTCTGTTAAAAACTGGAAACCTTGGAATACAATATTCCAAAAGGCAAAAGTTATAAGCTTACAACCAAAAATAACTTAGCAAAGCTGAATATAATTCTCCAGGGAGGAAAATGGATCTTTAGTAGAATANNAAAAAAAAAAAAAAAAAAAAAAAAAAAAAAAAAAAAAAAAAAAAAGACGAGAGCAGAGTAGGAACTTTTGAATACAAACAGAAGAATCCAGAGAAACTTATAAAAGTTAGTCAGTCAATAAGCATTTATTAAGCACCTACTATGTGCCAGGCATTGTGCTAAGTGCTGAGGATACAAAGAAAAGGCAAAAGACACTCTTTCCTCTCAAGGAATTCACAGTCTAATGGGAGAGAAAACGTGAAAACAACTACTATGTACAAATAAGATAAAAACAAGATACATTGGAGATAATCAATAGAAGGAAGGTCCCAACATTTAAGAGGATCAGGAAAGGTTTCTTGTAGATATGGAATTTTAGCTGGGACTTGATGGAAGCCAGGAGGTAATCTCAGGTAGGGCACTGGGGGTTGAGAGTAGGGTGGGACTAAGAAAGAAAGGCTTCTTGAAAAAGGTAGAATTTGAGCTATGTCTTGAAGGAAGCCAAGAAGAGGAGATTAGGAAGGAGAACATTTGGGAATGGGAAACAACCAGTGAAAATGCACAGAGCCTAGAGACAGACTATCTTGTGTGTGTGTGTATCTATATATCTATATAGATAATCTATCTATTTATCTATCTATCTATATATCTATACCTATATATACACCTATATATATCGATATATATATAGGAACTGAGTATAAGATGATTGGAAAGGTTGGGAAGGGCTTTGAACGACAAACAGATATTCATTTGATCCTGGAGGTGACAGGGAGCCATGGAGTTTACTGAATGGGGGGGGAGGTGACACGGTCAAATCTGTGCTTTAGGAAAATTAATATAAAAGCTGAATGGAAAATGGATGAGAACTGGGAAAGAGACTTCAGGAAGGGAAAAAAACTAGAAGATTTTGCAATAGTCCAAGAATGAGAGGATAAGGGCCTACGCTAGGGTGGTAGAAGTATCAAACAAGAAGAGATGTATAAGTGTGATGTTATAAAGGTAAAGGCATATTTATTTGAGTAATTGGAAGAAGCACTTGTAGCTAGCATTTATAGCTTTACAAATATTCTCTCCTTTGATCCTTTCAACAACCCTGGGAGGTAAGTGCTACAGTTTTCCCCATTTTACAGATGAGGAAACGGAGGCATACAGAGGTTTGAGTACTTGCCTAGAATCACTCAGCTAGTAAGTTACTAGGGCTGGATTTGACCTCAGATTTTCCTGACTCCAAGTCCAGGGCTCTATCCACTGGGACACCCAGCTAGTTGCCTAGGTTAGGGTTAATATTCTGATGGGAGAGAAGAAATGAGTATCCCTTTATAACTTTATCATCTTCAAAAAATATTGAGAGAGTTAAGAAAGTAAAGCAGAGGTCCTGGGAGTGGATTGGTTCTATTCTGAAGGGACAGAGAAGAGAGTAAAAGAATACATACATATGGAGAGAGAGGAGGGAGTAAGTGGGACTTGCTATTTCTCATAACTGGGGTACATTAGAAGAGTATACCAATGTGGTGGAAGGGGTGAAAGGAAATTGAAATGGATGAAGGAAGGCTGAATAAACATCAGTTTGGCGTAGAAAACCACTGGACTCAATAGGGAAACAGGTTGAGGTGTGGAAAGGGGGGCTTGAGGGAACACAAAACTGGGAAAGAAATAGTTTTATTCAAAACAAACTTACTGATCTTGAAGGGGGCTTTTTGATAGGGAGGAAAGTTTTTTTTTTTAATCTAGAATGTAAGGGTTGTCCTTAACAATTGTGGGATGACTGAATAAATCATAGTATATGAATGCAATAGAGTATTATTACACTGTAAGAAATGAGAAAACAGACAACTTCAGAGAATCCTGGATAGCATGAACTGATGCAGAGTGAACAATTTACAGCTAAGGTCTGATCAGAGAGAATAAAGAATCCCCTGAAGTAGTCACAATGTATTTGAATTTGTGCTATTGAAGTTATAATTATGCAAAATATAGTCATTGGTTCCAGCCCCATGGAAACATGCAGTGCAAATTTGAAAACAAGCGACCACTTCAGGGAATTCTTTATTCAAGGTAATCAGGACTTAGGTATGTACAAGGGCAGTGAGAGTAAAGAAAAAGAAGTAAGAACTCTAATCAAAGAGATGTTCAACCATGTCCCCAAAGGAACTTCAGAGAAGCATTCTACCCGCCTCCTGACAGAGAGGTGAGGGGCATAAGGGGCAGAGACATATATCTTTGGACATGGCCACTGTGTGGATTCAATTTGCTTGACTATGCTTATTTGTAATAAAGACTCTCTGTCTCTGTGTCTCTCTCTTATTGCGAGGGGACTGCAGTAAGAGGAAACTAAAAATAGTGATGCCCTTCCACTCCCCCAAAAAAGGAGGGCCACTGTAACATTTTTTAATGCACAGAAGAGAACCGAAGATACAATCAGAATAATTTTAAAAGTAATGTGTATAATTACATAATTTTTTAAAGAAGCAAATGCTATGAAATGGAGATTCGTAGTTTCATATAGAATCCTATTTTTGTGTTCTGATATATATGAACATATGCTTTCTAAGTGTAAAAAAAAAACTACATAAAAGAAAATACCATGCAGTGATTATCAGAATGTAAACAGAAGGAAAAAATGAAAACGAATGCTGTGTAATTATAATGACCAAGCTTGGCCCCAGAGGAGAGATGACAAAATGTAACTAATTTTCTTCACTGCACATACACTGAAGTTTCTTTTTTTCCCCTCTCTTTCTTTAAATATATTTTTTTTTGCTATAAGGGAAAGCTTTTTGGATAGAGGAGGAAGGATATATTCAGAAACAAATGTGACACAAAAACAAAAAAATCATCAATAAAAATAAAATTCAAATGAAGTAAGGTTCCCTTACCACCAAAATCCCTTTTCTACCTATGATGCTGGAGTAATTCTTTTAGTAAGGACAAACCTCTCATTCCACTGAAAGAGTAAAGGAAGGGGCTTGGACCAGATGATCTTAAATGTCCCTTCTAGCTCCCACAGTATATGTGACTTATATATGTGTTTTGTGGTAGTCCATATAGCAATTAAGAGACTGTCTTAGGCAAGTTATGCCATATACTCAGGCCAGAGACAAATTTACTGGCATCCATGCCTGGTCAAGAAGAAATGGCAAATATTTCTTTGGAACGATTAATGGAATGTACCTTCTCCTACATCCTATCTTGTAGCAATAATTGGTTTTCATATCCTGTCCTGTATATACATTTTCTGTTCTGAAATTAGTTTCTACGTTCCATTATGCCTGCATTGCATTACATTCTTATTAATATAGTGCATGTGGTTAATTAAGCATCTAGCATATAGATGACTTCCACAATCAACTGTGTTACTTTTTGGACTACTCCTCTCCCTTGCTGCCAATCACCTTCCCACCCCAGAAAAGACCTTTGCCCTGAGGCCCACTTTCCTAATTTCCTAATTCTCAGCCCGAATCATCATTTCTCAAGGGCTCCAGCCAGATTCACTTCACTCCTGACTAAGCTTGCTCTCAACATTTCTTGTCTGGAGATCAAATTAAAGAATGTTTGTAAAGCACTCAGCACGGTGCCTGGCACATAGTAGGCATTATATAAATATGTATTCTCTTCCCTCCACCCAGAAACCTCTATCCTGAGGCCCATTCTCATAGTTAGTGCCTCTCTCCCTGCCCCTCACTTTCCAGATTCCTTTTAAGTGTTGTCTTTTCCCACTAGAATGTAAGATCCTTGAAAGTAGGGACTGGATGGTATATAGATGTATGCCCAGCATTTACCATAGTGTCTTATAAATAACAAATGCTTAATCAATGCTCTACCTATAGGTAATAGTCTGTTATTCAACAATAAAGTAAGATGCAGTGATTTAGCCCATCTGGCTGCCCACAACTCAAGGGAGAAGGAGCCCACCTCTCCTGTTGGCCTCGAGGTCATTACATGTGTAGGCCTAACATAGAGGGCACATAGCTCAGGATAGGAAACTTCTTTTAGGATGGCAAATCACCACTGTCACAAGTGATCTAAAGTAGCTGGTACTGCCTTCACTGACATTTCCTCTAGTGGGCTGGACCAGGAATGAACCACTAAGTATAAGGTGTGGTAGATCACTCCAACTCAACC